ACCCTGCAGCAGAGGAGAAGTGAGCACACCTGAAACCCAGGTGCAGCTCAGATGAGGGGCAGAGGGTGGATGGACCCTCTCAGCAACGCCCCCATGACCCTTCCCTGGAAAACCTAGAACCTGCCCATCAGTCCCTGACAGCACCGCCCGTGGGAACCTGAACACGGTGCTGCCTGGGAGTGGATCTGAGACCTGAGTGTCACAGGGGCCAGGACAGGTGAGGGGGCCTCCCCTCTCTCTGTCACACCTGCACTGGGCTCTGCTGCCAAAGACCTTAGCAAACGACCGCAGTGACCCTGTGACTCCTGCACCCTCCTCTGCTCCCACACTGCCCTCTGCTGCTCTGTCCTGGTTCCTCTGCTGAACACACTGTGACACAGGTGACATGAAGCAGGTGTGTGCAGTGAGGTACTGCTCACACCCACCCACACCCAGGACTGATTCACGCAGGTGACCATATAGACAGACCCAGAGGGAGGGAGTCAGGGCTGGAGCTGGTCTGCACTGCCCCATCCAACTCGGGGTCCTGCTTCATGCCAACCTTGCCCACTGGTTTCTGCCCAGCAACTGATGAGCCCCAGGCTCTGAGCCAATCAGAGAACAAGTGTTTTGAAAGAGAGACTTTTGCCCTGTTTCCCTTGCTGAGCACTCTTTCTCCTTCCCCACCCTTTCATCCACATCAGAGACGCACCTATAATAAAGAGCCCTGGAGTACCTTTGCTCTGTGATTTCCATCTGGGAGTGTCAAGGGTAATTGGGGGCAGTTGGTGAAAGCCAGGGCCCCAGGGCCCCTTGGGAGAGAGGCTGAGGAGCTGGAGGAGCCTGCAGGGTGTCCCGCACCCAGAGAAGGAGTGTGGGGCTGTGAGCCTGCAGGTGAGGGCACAGGGGAGCGTGGAGCAGGGCAGGTAAGGTCTGCACTGGGACACCTGTGGGAGGGAGACAGTGGGAACCAGGGAGGTGGACACCTGCTTGTCCCTGGGAACTTCCTGTGGTCAGAGAGGGGCAAGGCCCCTCACAGTCCTTCCTGCTGGTCTCTGGGAACATGTTCTAGGAGATTCTAGAACAGACGTGAACATGAAACCCAGGTTTACCTGCCTGCTGCTCAAAACCCAATAATTGAGAGACAAGGCCTGGTGGGAGGAAAGTAGGTCCATTCAAGGGCCCACGGCTAGAGAAGACGGGGGTCTCTCCTGACAAATCTGAACAATGGACACAGACAGGGGATTTTGTAAGGAGGGAGAAGGAAGGAAACAAAAACACAAGAAAGACACAGAAAGGAGGGTGTTGAGAGTTCTGCCTGGAGGGGGCAATGTGCCAACAACACAGTCTGTTCAGGTTCCTGGTCGAGGTCAGCAAACCTCCCAGAGCTGAATGTCTGAGGGTGGACTGAGCTCCTTCTGAAGTTAGTGTCTGGAATTCTTCAGCAAACTGGCTGTTTATCTGAGTCACAGATAAGTTAGCAGGTCATTATTTACAGAAATAATGTGGAAAGAACAGTGGGGTGTGTTACCAGGTGTGTGTCTTAAAGATTAATTGTAAATCCCTGGCCAGTGTCGCTTAGTTGGTTGGAACATCATCCCACACACCAAAAGGCTGGGGGTTCGATTCCTGGTCAGGGGAGAAACCTGGGTGTTGGGTTTCATCCCCAGATTACGCAGCCTAGGAGGGGCAGCCAACTGATGTTTCTCTCTCTCCCCTACTCTCTTTATCTATTTATCTCCTTCTCTCTCCTCCACTCTTCTGCTCCCTCTGAAAATAATGAAGAAAAATGTCCTTGTGTGAGGATATAAAAAGATGTATGTGTAAAGAAGATTGTTAAAGAAATATTTGTGATATAGAACAATCTGCAGCATCCACACACACAACGGTTGAGGAATGCATGACTACACAGTGTCTGACCACAGAGGGGGTTCCAGTCTGTGTGTCTGTACTTCCTTTTTGGAGAAATGTCCATTCTGGTCCACAGCTCATCTTCTAAATCAGATTGTTTGTTTTTTTTGGCTTTTAGTTGTATGAGTTCTTTATAAATTCTGAATATTAAACACAGTTTAAAAAGTGAGTACTATTACTATCTGCTTTTTATTTTATTTATTTGTTTAGTTTAAGATTCCATTTATTTCCCTGGCTGGCATAGCTCAGTGGATTGAGCACGAGGTGTGAATCAGGCATCGCAGGTTCGATTCCCAGTCAAGGCTGGTGCCTACATTGCAGGCCACGGCCCCCAGCAACCCCATATTGATGTTTCTCTTTCTCTCTCTCTTTCTCCTTCCCTTCCCTCTCTAAAAATAAATAAATGGAATCTTTTTTAGAAGATTTTATTTATTTATGTATTTATTTTTAGAGAAGGGGAAAGAGAGGGAGAGAGACATTGAACTACAAGAGAAACATGGGTTGGTTGCCTCTCACATGCTCCCTACCAGGGACCTGGCTGTCAACCCAGGCCTGTGCCCTCCCTGGGAATCGAACTGGCAACATTTGGGTTCACAGGTTGGCACTCAACACACTGAGCGACATCATTCAGGGCTAAACACTTTTTAAATTGTATTATTGGCAAATATCTTCTTCATTTATTGCATGGTGTTTACATTTTGTTGATGGTTTTCTGTGCTGGGCAAACACTTGTTTCTTTGAAATGGTCTCATTCATTTATTTTTTCACTTTTTGTCCTTGCCCAAGGGGACATGCCCAAAATGACATTGTGAACAGTGATGTTAGAGAATTAATTGCCCATGTTTTCATCCAGTTTTATGGTTTCAGATTTTACATTTAAATCTTTAATTTTATTCTGTGTTCTTCTTCGTACTTGGTTTAGGAAAGAGATGCAGTCACACCCTTTTGCACGTATCCGTCCAGGGTTGACAACAGCATGTTGGAGAGGGTCTCTTCACCTCAGACCGATTGCCCACAGAAGGGAGGACTCGTTGCTGGCTCTCTGGTCTGTCCCATTGACTTGGTGACTGCTGTCCTGCCAGGTCCTGCTGTCTCTTCAGTGCAGACGTGTGACGTCCTGTCCTGTCCGGGAGTGTGACACCACTGACTTTGTTCTGTCTCAGGGTTTCTCTGGCTGTTCAGAGTTTTTGTGTTTCCACATACATTTTAGGGTTAGTTGTTGTACTTCTGAGAAGTAGGTCGTTGGTACTTTAGTAGGGATTGCCCTGAATCTGTGTTTTGCCTTAGGCTGTGTGGACATTGGGACAATATGAACCCTTCCCAACACCAGCACACTGTATGTCCCCACTCATTTGTGTTTCTTCAGTTTCTGTCCTCATTGTCCTACAATTGTCAATGTACAGGTCTGTGACTCTTTACTTACATTGAATCCTAGGGACTTTGTCCTTTTGGATGATATTGAACATGGGATTTAAAGAATATCTGATTCTGAATATTCAGTATTGCTGTGTAGAAATGCAGCAGGTTTCTGCTTTTATATTCTGAATATTACTCAATTCATAGTAGTTCTAATAGGTTCTTTTTTGGGGGGGGTGGCGGAGTCTTCAAGCTTTTCTCTATTTTGTATCATGTCATCTGCAAATGGTGAGAATTTTACTTTTTCCTCTCTGATTCGTATGATATTTATTTCTCTGTCCTGTCCGATCAGTGTGGCTAGGACTCCCAACACTGTACTGAATGGCAGTGGTCATTGTGGGCATCTGTTTCTTCTTCCTGATCCACAGGAACAGCCTTCAGCTTTTCACCACTGAGATTGTGTGGGTTGTTGGTTTAGGAATTATGTTTTTAATAAAGAGGTTTTCTATACATTTGTAACAAAATTAGTTGCAGTTTGGCTATTTAAATTGTATCTACACTTTGCTATTGCAGATTTTACCATGGTGAACACCCTTAAATATAAGCCTTTGTGATAATGCCTGATTTGTCTTCTTTGAGATTAATTCTTGCAAAGGAAAACATTCTTAAGCCAGTGTGTGTGACTGTGTGTGTGTGTGTGTGTGTGTGTGTATATATCACATTCAGTAATATTTACATTCATGTGAAGCAAAGTATATGATTTCCGTTATAACATAAATTTTTATTTTATTATTGTTATTACTATTAATATTATTTGGGTTATTTTAAACTTGTATATGATCAGGATTAAAAAACAATAAATATCTCCAGAAATAAGTGGAAATACATCCCACACTGTGAAAACTTTTAATTTAAAACATTCAGGTAATTGTAAAAGTACTGGATGCAAAGGACTCCCCTTCTGCTCTGGATGGAAGGGGGGCCCCTGGGAGGGGCTGAGCAGGAGGGAGGGGAGGGGTCAGGACGTCCTGGCTGCTGTGTGGAGCACGGCCTGCAGGGGGCAGCAACGGGACCAGGGACTCAGAGCAGAGGGGCCTGCCTTCCTCAGAGGGCGATGCTGGGGATGCGCACCTGGCTGTGGCAGGGACGTGTGGGCGAGCGGAGGGATTCTGAGCACCTTTCTGAAAGGAGACCCAAGGACTCCCTGCTGGTGAGGGTGAAGGTACTTGCATTACTGTGCCATGTTTCCTGGGTGATTTCCATGTTGGGATCCAGGGTGAAGAAAATCCCCAGGAGACATTTGCGGAGGAGGCTCTCCGGTCAGCAGCCATTGCGTTTGCACCCTCCGGTCTGCCCTGGGGAGGCAGTGTCTCCATGTGGAATTCTCCGCCTTCTCCCAGGTCGTCACTGCCGCCCAGCCCCTGCTGCTGTGTCTCTCTCTGCCCAGCAGGGAACGATGGTGAGGCGCCTGGTCCCCCGTCTGCCTGCCCTCCCTGTCTGCCTCGCCGTGGTCCAGCTGCTCAGCCCCTGCTCAGGTAGGACCTGCTCTGCGTTCGTGCACCTGAAGCCTTTCCCTTGGGGCCCAGTCAGAACCCTGGACTCCCCCCACCCCCTGAGAGGCCCGTCCCAGACCCACCTGTGTGAGGACTGAGTTCCTGTCTAGGTGTCTCTCCCCTCACCCTCCCTGCTGGGGCTCCCCCTGGTCCTCTGGGCCCAGCTCCCTCTGACGGAGCCCCCCCCCTTCTGATGACCAGCTCAGTCTGCTGTGGTTGGACCCCCCAAGCCCACCCTGGCCATGGTGGGTGAAGACGCTGAGCTTCCCTGTCACCTGTCCCCGGAGATGAGCGCTGAGACCATGGAGCTGATGTGGGTGCGATCCAGCCCCAGGCAGGTAGTGCACACGTACGCACACGGGCAGGAGGACACGCCGGCAGCAGAGTACCGAGGGAGAACTTCGATGTTAAGACAGGACATCACTGCGGGGAAGGCTGCTCTGCAGATTCGAGATGTCAGAGTCTCTGACAGAGGAACCTACCTGTGTTATTTCCGAGATGGAGACTTCTTTGAAAATGCCCTGGTGGAGCTGAAGGTTGCAGGTGAGTCTCAGGTTTGATCTGAGCTTGTTTCCTGTGGGGTCAGGGGCAGAGGGTCCATGCCCACCAGGGAGCACTCAGGGCTCCTCATCACCAAGGGTCTCCCAGGGCCCCCCCACCCTGCCTCCCTCCCTGCTCCTCTGAGGCCCGTGAAGGACCCAGGTCGTCCCCCAGGAAGGGCTCCTCCTGCATCCAGTAAAGAGTCCCTCACGCCGCCCACCAGGTCTCAGCAGGGAAGAGGAGGTCGGGGACAGGAAGGAGGAGGACACCCCCCCACAGTGGGGGGCACACAGGTGTTTGGGTGCAGCATGTCCCAGACAGTGGCCGTGGGCCCCCCATGTGCCCGCTGCTGTGGGTCCAGGGGGCTGAGCTGCAGGGACAACACCTGTGGTGCCCACACCCTCCAACCAAAGGCCCCGGGACACACGTGCAGTTGAACAGGGTGTGTCCATCCCTGGAGCAGTGAGGGGGGACGCACAGGGGAGGAAACCGGGGTGTCTCAGAGAGGGGGTGTCAGGGAGAGCTGGGTGTGACCCCTGGGCTGTCAGGGGACTTGGGGGGATGTGGAAGCAGGGCTCTGCTCTGGGCTGGATGCTGTCAGGAAGGTGCAGGGGTGTCATGGGTCACTCCCAGCCAGGACAGGGGAGGGAGGTCACTGCTGTGGCCTGCACACTGTTCCTGCTTCCTCTGTGCTCAGACCGACTGCTGAGTGGTCCTGACTTTGTCCTGACCCGTCCCAGGGACAGAGTGACCTTGTGTGAGGTGCTGCCCCATGAGAGTGCTCGTGTCCGGGTGTCAGGGCTGCACTTCACCTTCTCAGGACACAGCCCCGCCCTGGGCTTCTGCCTGGTGGGTCCCTGGGGAGCCCGGCAGGGGATGGACTGTGGGGGGTCCTGGCTTTGTCCCTGCAGGGGCTCCTGAGCCAGACACTGTCCCTCCCTGTACATCACAGGTCCTTTGAAGAGAGTCCTCCCCACAGGACTCTGTCCTCTCAGGTCTGTAAGGGGCTTCCCCCTGCTCCCCTTGTGTTTAAGGGTTCAGTGTCAGTAGGAAAAACCCCACAGTTCCTGCCTAGGTCAGCGCTCCTCTGTGGAGAAGTGTTCCCCTCTCCACAGTCAGGTGATACAAACTTCCCACAGTGGAGGCTGACACCTGCAGCATGAATTACAGCAAGAGTTTCACACGGGGACAAGCATACAGCACACAGCTAGGGCAGCAGCAAGACGAGGTGCAGATCCTTCCCCCACAAAGCAGGGCTGAGGCTCACACAGGACAGGCGGGATGGATAGGGGCACTGGGGTGGGACCTGTTTCAGCAAAGGGGGAACTGTTTACATGCTTGCGCAGGGTGGGGTGAGGGGCTGTTCCAGGAACCAGCATGTCTGGGCCATGGGGGAGGGGAGGGTCCAGCAGTCTCTAAGGGGATTTAGGGGAAACAGTGTCAGTTCCAGCCCAGATCCCCCTGGATCCAGCACGAGGGTCCAGCGATGGTCAGGCAGTGGTCACACTGTGGGTCAGTCTCTCCTGCACAGCACACTCTGGGAGCAGCTCCTGTGAATCCCTGCTGGGCTCATCCAGGATGGGTGTGCCCCTCCCTGCTGTGGAGACCCCCACCAGTGCAGAGGGATCCCCAGGATTAAGGTTCACTGTCCCTCCCCAGTGCTGGGCTCTGATCCTCACGTTGAAAAGAAAGGTTACGGGGCTGGAGGGATCCGTGTGGAGTGCACGTCTGCCGGCTGGTACCCGCAGCCCCAGATCCAGTGGAGAGACGCCAGGGGACGCAGCTTGTCTGCTGAGGTGGCCACAGAGGCTGCAGACCCCCAGGGCCTTTATGCAGCCTCAGCCTCTCTGATCCTGGAAGGCGGCTCTGGGGAGGGGGTCTCCTGTGTCATCAGAAACCTCCTGGTGGGCCAGGAGAGGTCATCAGCCATGGTTTCCATTGCAGGTGAGTGCCCTGCCCACTACTCTGGGCTCCTGGGTGCCCCCCGAGGGAAGGTGTGGTTGTCTGCTGCTGACCTGGGTCTCTGCAGGGAACAGAAGGGACAGAGCAGGGACCTGCTGCTCCTTCCCCATGAAGCTGTTTATGTCACAGACACCTTGTGAGCACTTCCTGTGGCCACACACGGTGCCAGGGGATGGGAACTGGGGGCAAATGGTCAAGGTCAGCAAACACATGAGAAAAGGGGAAAAAATATGTACAAAGCAAATCTTAGAAAAAGGGCTGATCTCCTTAAAATGTAAAACAACCAAGTAGAAGAAAGAGCAGAGAACAGGAATGATCAGTTCACAGAACAGGAAATGACTCGGGAAAAGGTGTCCAGTCTCCCTGACTAGGGAGGTGATTTCCACCTGTGAGACTGGCAACACAGCAAAAAATTAGGTGGTTGGTAACACATTCTGAGGGCAGGATTGTCGGGAGGCAGTGACTCTTAGAGGTTTGTGGCTGTTGTTTGGTGTATTTTTGGTGTCAATAAGCACAACTTTTATTGGGGACACCAGAGCAGCCGTATCCAGAGTGCTCATTCAGTTATGCAAGACCCCACTTGTGGGAATTGTCTGAAAATCAGCTTGCATTTCTGTGAAATGACCCACATAAAAGGTTATTTCCTGCACCATTAACTATAGTAACAAAGAGTCAGAGACGGTGCAAGTGCCCCCGAGGGGCCGTGTGTGCAGGGGGCGCTGCCCTGTGAGAGCAGACACAGACCTGCCCCCTGTGCTGAGGCGGGAAGGTTGTGCAGACCCAGCGTGAACAGTTTGTATAGACTGCTATTTTTGGTGTGAAGAAAAATATATAAGAATATATATGTTTTAATTTAATAAACACGTCCAGGTTTCAGTGTGTGCCAGGTACTTTATAAGCATTAATTTAATCCTTTTACTAATCTGGACACCAGAAACAGGTGGTGAAGTCGTTAGTTCAAGGTCACAGAGCTAGTCAGGCAGAAGACTGAATCTGAACCCAGACCCTCCAGCCCCAAAGTTCACCACCTTCATCACCAGATCAGCTGACTCAGGAGAAGCTAATAAGTGGGAACTGAGGGAGTGGAGAGGACACTTGAAAATTTTGTAAATATGTCTGATATTTGAACTTCTCCCATGTGAGGGGCAGACATTTCAAGAAACTGCACTTACTATGTGACAGTAAGAGTTCTGGGCACTTTGGGAAGAGAGGGATCACTTTCCGTCCTGAGATGCCCCGCGACCCCGCTGTGCGAGGGGCTCAGGCTCACCCTTCGCAGGCCCCTTCTTCCGGAACGCGCAGCCCTGGGTGGTGGCCCTGGGCGTGACCCTGCCGGCTCTGCTGGGGCTCCTGGCCGGGGCGGGCTACTTCCTGTGGCGACAGCAGAAGAGGATCCAGGCCCTGTCCCAGGAGAAGGAGAGGGAGCGAGCGGAGAAAGCAGCAGCTCAGGCGGAGGGGCTGCAGGAACGAGTCGCCAAAGGTGAGGCCCCGCTGCAGGTGGTTGTCACCTCCGGGCCCCAGCCCGCGCCCACCACGGGGGTCCTCCCCTCGATTTCCTTATAAGAACTTTTCTTTTCCTGCTCTTTTCCAGAGAGGCTGCAGGATGAACTCAGTAAGTCCACGTCCTCGGCCCCACGCGTCAAGGGTCCCTAATGACACTTGTGACTGACCCCTCACGTTGTTCCCTGCAGGGTGGACAAAGACCTGGTGCCTAGCACGTGAGTACCCGGACCCGCATCTCAGTGTCTCTGCTCAGATATTTCAGCCCCTTTCCTACCCCCTAACCGCCCAGGGGAGGGATGAGGACGCTGGTGGGGGGACCAGGCAGTGGTCTGTCTCAGTGAGGAAGGGGCTGAGGTCTCTCTCCACCAGGGGGCGCTCGCACAAGACGCCCTGGGAACCCAGGAAAGGAGAGGGGAGGGGGAGGTGACTCAGTGTGTGAGTCCTTCCTCCCTGGTTGATTCTCAAACTCTGTACCCGCTGAGAAGAAAAGCAGAAGGAGAGACAAAAGTGGCTCTTAAAAAGGGGAGTGGCCAGTGTCAGCTGATACACATTTATTGTCACTGAGAAGAGCTAAGTAAGAGTATCTCAAATTTTTTATTATTATATTGCCCAATTGTCAGCGGAAGACGCAGGAAATAGCACAGGCTCAGGTGGATGGGTTGTAGCACACAGGTACACACACGTGTGTGCACAAGGCGATCCTGTGCCCAGGTACATCCAGGTACAGGAGTAAGGTGATCGGCCCTGATGTGAGTGGGATGCGGTCCAGGTCCCCCAGGGGCTGTCTGACCACGGACGGTACCACACCCTGAATGCACGAGGTTTTTCCTTTCCACGTAGAGAGGGCTTCTCCTTGGCACCCCAGCATCACAGCATCACTGCTCTTGCTCACTGGAGCTGCTATTGGGTAACATAGAGGTGACTTGAACACCAGCGCTGTGATACAGTGACTGTCCGTCTGTCACAGAGACGCTCCTCAGTGACTAGGGGGGCATCCACAGGGGGGACGTGCTGGACTCGGGGGGACCCGTGAGGGGGCAGGTCAGAGCAGACAGCACAGAACCTCATCACGCTGCTCAGAGTGATGTGCAATTTAAAACTTGTGAATTGTTTATTTCAGAAATTTTCACCTTAACAGTTTACCACCATGGTTCAAGAATGTGACTGAAAGTTTAGAGGGAAAATCTGGGGGTCAGGGTGACTGCTGCACAGACACGGACAGGACAGCTGTGTGGTGACCCTGGGACAGCCCGTGCAGGCCGCCTGGGGGTCCTGAGCTGCAGCTGATGGAAAGAAGAGGGGGTGCCAGGGAGGGACCAGGCAGAGAGGTGGGGAGGGTGGGGGGCACACAGGAAGATGACAGGGGGGCACAAGGGAGAGGAAGGAACCGACTCAGAAAGGACAGCTCAGGTGAGTGTCTGTCTCCCTTGCAGGTGAGGAGCGGTCTCAGGCCTATGCAGGTGAGTGAGCCCCAGGCTCTCTGGTTTCCTGGCTCCTGTGGGGGAAGCACCTGCAGCCTTTCCTGCTGGGGGAGGGGCCGTCCCATCCTGCTCAGAGGCTCATTCTCTGTGTCTGCACCGCCCCCTCCTGTCTGGTCACTCAGAGAGGACCTTCCAGACCCAGTGTCCCCTCGCCCTGCTGACACCCACGCCCACACCCGGCACAGCCTGGTCATGTCCCCCATGGCCCCAGCGTGATGGGGGGAAGCCCAGCACTGGGAGAGGGTGCAGCCTGGCCCGCAGAGCTGCAGATGAGGGGAGTGGACGCTGGAGGGGACTGAGGAGAGGAGAGAGAAGAGGCTCAGTGAGGACAGTGGGTGGGGGGGGACACAGAAAGAATGACCTTTCCTTGTCTGTGTCTCCTTCCTTCCAGAGTTGAAGACGGCCCTCTTCCAGCCTGGTGAGTGGGTCCCTCTGTGTCCCCAGGACAACCCCTGAGGGCCCCTGCTCCCTCTTTCCTCTCCAGCTCTTGACTTCAAGAGTCTAGTGGCTGACCTGAGGTTGAAGTCTCAAAGGTGTCTTCACCTGCTGCCCAGGGCCCAGGGAGCAGGGACAGCAGTTGTCCTGGGGCCCACAGGTCTCTGTGGGAGGAAGAGGCAGGAGGGGCGTGGCTGGAGGGATGGGCTGCAGGGAGGGGGAGGGGTGACCTGACCAAGCTCCTGCCCTCCTGCCCCTGTGTGTCCCCGAGTTCTGCCGTGTTCCACAGTCACTGCTGCTCTGTGAGGGCTGGGACAAGGACCGAGTGAGGTGGTGACTGTGTGTTGTCAGAGCACCCACAGGAAACAGACGGCCTGTTTGAAGGGGGTGTTTGTCTGACGGTAATGACCATGGTGAGGAGAAGGTGTCATAAGACCTAAAAACGATGCAGACAGCTCCTCAGACTGCAACAGACTGTGTTGTAGGGTGATTCACTCCCAGGGGTGCAGGGTCAGAGAGGACAGAGGACCCCACAACCTGCACAGATTGTTCCACTGACAACACACCCCTTACAGCACTTTCTCACACTGTGACTCGGGCACTGATGACTGACAGGAACAGGGACAAAGAGTGGGGCAGCACCAGCCACACCTCCCGGTGGTCCTGTGACAGGTGACCCTTTATAATCCACACGATCCCCAGTGTGGAGTTGACCTCGGTGCTCCTGTCACCCTGGCTGTTAGTGACAAAAGTGCTCATGGCCGTGTTTAAGGGACACGGATGACCGTCACTGGAGGCTTTGGTGTGCTGACTGAGGACCGTGAGCTGGGTCAAAGGTCACAGCAGGAAGAGGTGAAAGAAATCCCTGACACAGAGACGGGTTGGGTGTGTTCACAGTGACAGGTGGGGAGTGGACCCCAGAGCACATGGAGCCCAGCCTGGCCCCAAGCACAGGAGGGACACGGTGTCTGTTGTCACACCAGGCACTTCCTCTGTGCCCAGCCTGGGGCTCAGTATACCACCCAGAGTTTGTCTTACTCCTTCCCAGAGATTAGAGTTTCACCCTTCCTTTAGACATAGGTTATTGAGACTCACGATTTCCGTAGCTGGTGTCTGTGGAAAGAGAGACTGTGCAGGAAAGGACGTCCCCCAGCTCAGGGGGCAGAGCCAGGGCTGACGTTTAATCCACGTGACTGAGCAGCACCGGAGGGCACCCAATTTTGGGACGGGAACAAGGTAGAAGGAAGGTTTCAGATGACTGGTGGTTCCGAAGTGCAGTCATGACCACTGTGGACTCTCTTGCCATGGCTGAGGGTCACTTCCAGGGTGAGAGGGGGACCCCAGACTCTGGCCTCAGGCCTCCTGCTGAGACGCATGTCCCGAAGACTGAAGCTCAAAGGTCTGGTAGCCATGGCTGACCCTACCCCTCCTAAACTCTCTCAGCGGATGTGTTTCTGGACCCAGACACCGCCCACTCCACCCTCCATGTTTCTGAGGACCAGCGGAGCCTGCAGCGGGCAGAGACAGGGCAGAACGTGCCAGGCAACCCCGAGAGATTTGTGTGGTATTGCAGTGTTCTGGGCTCTGAGCGCTTCACGTCAGGGAGACATTTCTGGGAGGTGCAGGTGGGGGACAGGGGAGAGTGGCTTGTTGGGATGTGCAGGGAGAACGTGGAGCGGAAATGCTGGGTTAAAATGTCACCCCAGAATGGATTCTGGGTCATGAGGCTGTCTCATGAGAATGACTATTGGGCTCACACAGACCCTGAAACCAAACTGACAGTTCTCAGCCCCCCTGAGAGGGTGGGGGTTTTCCTGGACTATGAGGTGGGGCAGGTCTCGTTCTACAATGCCCTCGACGGGTCTCACATCTTCACCTTCCCACACACCCGCTTCTCTGGGCCTCTGAGGCCTGTTCTTAAGATTTTGGATATGAAATCCACTCCTTTGACCATTTGCCCAGCACAGAAAACAGTGGGGAGATCCCTTCTGCCTGACCCAGGGCCTGACCCTTCCCTGGGGACCCCAGTGTCCCCGGGCTCAGCTGGTGGGAATGGGGACCCTCAGGTTGAAGAAATGTCTCTGCTTCTGGCTTCCCCGCCTGGGGCTGAGGGCCCGTGAACAGCAAACCTCTCAGCGGGGAAATACTCACTGAAACCACGCTGAGTGACGGACGTCACTGACACTCCCTCAGTTCCCTCACGACAAGCAGAGACAAGGGGCAGGCCGTGAGGTCACAAGCCACCGGTGACGGAGCTGCCCTCGAACGGCAGCAGCTGACACTCACAGGTGACGTCCCATGTCCTGGAGTCGTGCGAGAGGCTTCGTGGGAACCTCGCTGACCCTCGCAACAGCCCTGGGAGGCAGCCGCATTTTGAAAGGGTGAAAACTGAGATGGGGCCAAGTTCACTAACACGATTCGTGCCAAGTTCAGTCACCTGAGAGATAGGTGGCCTCTGCCCCTCCCTCTGCCTCTCGTCTGTCCCTCTGCAGCAGCTGAGTGTCCCTGCTGGGCAGGGTCACAGAGCCCTGGTCACCCCTGAGGGTCCCTTCCCAGGGCACCAAGGGTAAAGGTCACGTCATCATCACTGTGATTGTTCACCGTGTGTCCCCTCCACTAGCATATGGTTGTCATGTGTCACTTGTTAAATGAATTTGTCAGTAATCACTGTAGCTGGTGTGGCTCAGTGGATTGAGTGCCAACTTGTGAACCAAAGGGTCACAGGTTCAATTCCCAGTCAGGGCACATGCCTGGGTTGTTGGCCAGGTCTCCAGTGGGGGGCATATGAGAAGCAACCCCACATTGATGCTCTCTCCCTCTCTTTCTCCCTTCCCCTCTCTGAAAATAAATAAATAAAATCTTTTTTAAAAATTGTCAAAAATCTTCACTGTTCAATGCACTTCTAGATTAAGCTCTCAGAGACAACTCACGACAGATTCATGGTTTAGCTCCTTACAACATTTTCACAAAATCCCAATTATATTGGTTTTGTGTTGCTGCTGTGATACATACCCACACATTTCCTGACCTGAAACAGCACCCATTGACTACCCCTCGACTCTGTAGGTCAGAGGTCCAGCAGGGCCCTCACTGACCTCAAGTCCAGGAGTCACCGCCCGGGGGCTCGCTGAGGACCCAGGGACCAGTGCGTCTTCCTGACTCTGGCTGCTGGCAGAGCTGTGCTTCCCGCAGTGGCGGGACCCAGAGGCCCCTGTTGCTGCTGTCAGAGGAGCTGAGACCCTCCAGACTGGGCACGTCTGGGGCCCTTCTCGCAGGGACAGATGTGGGGGAACAAGTCAGGTGAAAGGAAGGACATGAGGACAGAGTCCCAGTGCTAGAACGATTGCTTCGGGGGCCATTGCTGGGGGGTAAGTGCAGTGTCCGGTTGAGGCAGTGACGAGGACAAACAACCTTTTTGAGCAAGAGGAGGGTGGCCCTGGTCATTCACAATGTCACAGCCCAGGACAATGGCATCCACCACTGTCATTTCCCACAAGGCAGGTCCTACAGGAGGCCATCATGCACCTGGTGGTGGCAGGTGTGGCATTTCATTTGGTGGCTCTTTTGCACTGTGACTCCTGGAGAAAGTTTCTCTCTGAGCCTCAGGCCCCCACAGACCAGCAGATGTTTGTCTAGGATCCCTCTACCCTTGCAGGGGGCTTCCTCCTGCCCGAGGGCGCAGTGAGTGGGTGTGTCCTGCTGAGCCGTGGGCATTGGGTCTTGAGAAGCACAAGGAGCTCAGTGGGGCCCCACGGAGTAGCCCCTGCTGCTGCTCAGAGATCTCTAAGGGTCCTCGCCTGTCTCGTACATTAGGATCAGACACTTTAGACATGTTTGTCTGTCACAGGCCTGGGGTCCAAGTCCCTCACTGAAATGAAGAGCCATGACAACGGTGGTGTCCGGCCAGAGTTCACCTCCACAGGGTGGTACCCAGAGCCCCGAGCAGTGTGGGGGACCCCTATGGTGAGCTCATGCCCGCCCTGGGGGAGGCTCACACCGAGGACACAGACGGCCTCTGCAGTGTCACCATGGCCGTGACCATCAGGGACAGCTCTGTGAGGACAAGCCCTGCTCCGTCAGTAACACCTGCTGGGCCAGGAGAGGGGCTCTGGGGTCTTCCTTCCAGGTCAGCTCCCTGCCCTCTGGGGCCCAGCCCATGGACACAGGACCCTCAGCAGACAGTTGGGAGCCTGAGTGGGGCTGGGGGAGGGCGGGGCTGGGAGAGTCCTGGGCCCTGAGGAGCTCAGGCTGCAGCTGAGCTGAGCCTCTCCCCTCCTCACAGGGGGCATCACAGAGTCTCCCATCCCAGGAGGAGGAGCCTCTTCTCTGAGGGTAAATCTGGTCATTTTCCCCTGTTGTGGTTCTGATGCTGCAGCTACAGTTGTGTGTTCAGGACAATCACATGCCGTGGAGAGTGGTGGGGGCAGGGGCTGTCTGCACCTGGGGGTGCTGATGCTGAAGCCTCCCCTCCTGCCCCTGGGGTTTTCAAAGATGGAACTGGGACATTCAGCGTCTACAGACACTCATAAAGTCACTCAACAAACACTTAGCAAGGATCACATATGTTCTAGGCTCAGTTCTAGAAACAGGAGATAAATCAGGGGAGAAAATGCATAAACATCCCCACCATCAAGGGGCTCATGTTGTACAGAAGCAGAAAGTAACCTATAAAACACTTAACTCATTGAGTAAAATAATTAAACTGTTATATCAGGTGGTGGTAAGTACTGTAGAAAAATTAATCTGGGGAGAGTGCGTGGAGGCTAGAGGCAGGGGAGCGGTGATGGAACTGGAAAGGTGAGGGGAGGCTCCTGGGAGAAGGGGCAACAGGGCACGTGAGGGGTGAGCACCAGGGAGCAGGAGGGGCAGGTGCCCGGGGCCTGAGGCAGCAGCATGTCTGGCAGTTTCGAGGAACCCAGGGGGCAGGTGTGGGGGGAGGGACTGAGTGCAGGGAGGATGGGAGGAGGGGGGTGCGGAGCTGGAAGGGGGCCCAGACCAGACGGGGGCAAAGCAGGTCCCAGGGGGCCTGTGGTGGAGTCTGAGTGAGACAGGAGCCAGGGCAGGGACTGGGGCAGAGCAGGAAGGTGACCACGGGGAGGCACTGTGCTGAGGTCGCACTGGTGTGGCCTGACCCGGGGGGAGGGCGGAGGGCGGGGAGGGGTGGGAGGGACGGGAGGTTGTTGCAGTAACCCGGCAACAGTGATGGCGGCTCAGCCTGGAGTGTGGCTGTGGAGGGTTTCTATTCATCCGGGTCCTTCCCACAGAAACTCCAGGTGCTTGTCCCGTTTGTCTCCTAGGCAAGGCAAGTGACAAACTCGAACTGTTTATTAGTGAGTCTGACATCCTTTGTTCAAGAGAAAAGCACCCAGGAACTGGGGGGCTGCAGGGCCTCAGGACAGGAGGGGCCTCTCCCTGAGGGGTTTGGGGCAAGAGCAAGGGGGTAAGGGGGGAGCAGACAGCACTGTCGAGGGGGTCGGGGTCTCCTTGGGAGGCCTCAGGACCCCTGACCTGGGGGCAGGTGAGTGGCCTGAATTCCTTTCCTGGGAGGTGGAGGGCACAGGGTCTCAGGTGTTTGGGGCAATTCGGAAAGTTTCCAGCTAGAAAGCGCACCCGAGATCATATGACTTGAACAGAAAAGGGGGCAGATCAGAGAAGGTGCAGAGAAAGTGGGAGACGTTCATTTCAGCTCCTTTCCTGAACCGTCAGCATCACTTAGTGCCCAGGTGTCCGCGCCCCGAGGCCCCGTCCCCTCACGCAGCAGGTGGAACCTTGTATTCCGCCTGGTTCCGACGCATCGGCCGGCCGCGCCCCGGGGAAACCTTGTCTGCGGGGGCCGACATTTCCGTTCCCTGCAGCTGTGACTTGCCCCCGAGTGGTTTGTGGGTTCCCTGTGTCCCCAGGGGAAAACAGCACCAGCAGGAGGGCTGCGGAGTACGGCCACATCCTCCACTCCCGACCTTCTCTTCAGTGACCAAACTGTGTATTGTTTCCCCAGTAACACGGTCTGACCCCGCAGGGTGTGGCGGAGAGCCCGGGCTGCCCCCCCCCCCCGCCGGCCGCCCTCAGTAAGTAACGGGAGTCCTTCCCCACCGCTCGCCGTGTGCGGCTGAGACACGGAATGAAGGAGCTCGGAGGAGAGGCCATCAGAGGAGATGGCGTCAGCGCGCAGGCAAATCAGCGGAGGGCCTTCCCGCAGACACGCAAGTGGAGCTTCTGTCGTCCGTGCTTTTGGCCAGAGCACGGGACTGACCCGCTTCTGTCTCCACGGGAAACGGGAGGGAGACACGTGTCTCGGGAAGCCCCCGTGGGAACCAGGCGGAGACAGCGTGAAGCTTCCACAGGCCTGGAACCGCCAAAGACTGCCGGCACCCCACCCCCACCCCCACCCCCACCCCACCCTCCACCGTCGCCTGAACCGGGGCAGGGGCTGGAACTGACCCGCCGGGACCGGAGCTCAGGCCTCCAGCCTCGGGAACGGGCACCGCGAGGCTCTGCTGTTTCAGCCGCCCCGAGTGCGGCACGAGGTGCAGCCAGACCTGGGGGCCACGGGCCGCTGTTCGGCGTGTTCGCGGGCGTGTGGTTCGTAGGGAGACGTCCTCACCGATGGGGGGAGGGCGGGCGGGGGGATGTCAACCAGATACTTGTCCGTCTGCACCAGAAAAGCTCTGTGCTCCGCCTCCGGCCCAGCTAAGGGGCTCTGACAGCATTAACGTGAAGGGAAACAAGGGCGTTGTTAGGTTTCAGAATGAAGGTGAGTTTTTGAGTGTCCAAGTTCTCTCCCTTGGACAAGCAGAGCAGAGCCCCGCAGGCCAGGGGGCGCCGCGCTCCCGCGGACAGACGGTCCTCCCGGGGCAGCGCCACCTGCAGGGCCTGCGCCGCTGGTGGGGGACATGCACACACTGCGCAGTGTATTGATTATTTTATTTTAAAAACCAAATGGAACTATGAGTCAATATAGTATGTATAAACATGAGTGTATGTCGGCAGTTATAATATAAAATGCATTTCTTACGGTGTATCACAGGGTTTTGGGATTTTTTTTTTTAAGGATTTGAGGTTATATTGAACAAAGATGTGGGAACCTGTCCGGACATCTCCCTGGAGGGACAGTAGCTGCGGTTCCCAGGCTCACGGCCTACAGTGAAGCGCCGTGGCCACCAGGGGGCGGAGGAGCCTCAAGATCCCCCTCTGAGAAGGTAGAGGAGGAGGGAGAAGGGGAAGGGCAATGATTAGACGCAGGGGGAGGGGAAGAGGGGATAGAGACAGAGCAGGAGTTCTGCAGCTTTCGGCCTCCGAATGGAGAGACCCGGAGGGCTGACCGGTCCGGCTTGCAGCCTGGAGCCCAAGTCCATCAGTCAGGCCCAAGCGAGACCGCCGGAGAAGGTGCGCCCGGAGCCCTGCCGACCCACGACTGAGACAAAGAAATGTCCACAGAGAATCCCCCGAGAGGTTCGGCGTGCGCTCTGAGGCACGATAGCATTACAAAGGTGTCTAGTCACATGCAGCCAGTGCAGAGTAAAGGTTCGCACCATTATTATTACTAGTTTCTCTAATGATGGTAACTCCTCGCCACTGATTACTTCGCAGTCCATTGGGGCTGGTCTGTGGATCCCAGCAGCTGACTCGCCTTGCCGAGCACGAAGGTTGGGGAGGAAGGGCAGGAGGAAGTGCTCCTGCTGCCCCACCCCAAGGAGGGTGTCGGAGACAGGGTGAACTCCTGGACTTCGAGTGCTTGAAGGGCCCCAGGGGTGAGAAGACGCCCTGCACCGGAAAATGCGTTTCCAACTGCGGGCTTTCCCTGAAGTCTAGTGGAGTGAGGAGACAGCACTTTGTCCCATGGATGAAATAACAGACGTCAGATGCAATGTAACGGAATGGATCAAGTGCATTTTGGGGGAAATAGTGATGACAGTTTCTGTCTGTCTCTTATCTCTCTTTTTTCCTGGTCTGAACGCACCAGAGGCTTGGGCACCTGCCTCTCTCACCAACTCTTTCCTTGAACTGTGCAACTGGGAAATAGACTAGGGCCTGGCCGGCAGATGGGATCAAAGGTCAGCGCCCCCTGGGGTTGACACTGAGTTCCCAGCGTGGACTGGACGTCCTGGAGTCAAGGCCTCGGGCGCAGCCCACTTTGGAAACGCACAGAACTGGGACTGAGATGCATGTGCCACCTTCCTGCACTGGCCAGCCTTCGTGGGCGCCCAAAGAGAGACGAGCATTGCTGGAGGGCATCCTACTGAGGACGAACAATACCCAGCACACACACGCAGAGCAGAAGAGATCATCTGAACGCAGGGTTTATCTGATGAAAATGGACTTTTCACATGTGATGTTCAGTCCCATTTCCCATTTGCCTCCCAGCACCACATACAGGTCTGGAGGAGAAGCGCATCAGGACTGGAGTTCCTGGGAAACTCCTAGAGATGCAAGACCTCCTGCCCAGAAATCCTCAGCTGGAGGCTCACGTCTAGGGTGGACATTGGCTGCTTCTCTGTGTCAGTGTACCCTGGTCCCTGCAGGGACGGCTGCAATGTTTCCCTGAGTGTGAGCCTCTCTGGACAAACACAAGCCAACAAATTTCGCCTGCAAACCATCGGCCCAAACCACTCCCATCAACAAGGTGATGGGCACAGTGTGGTACCTGTCTCTCCCAAACTGCTGAGAAGCAGCAGGGAACAGATGGGGCACAAGGGAGCAGCCACCTCCACCCCAGAACCCACATTTACACGATGGAATGCATCACAGTCCATCAGCCACGGTCACACTCAGGCCCTGGGAGCTCAAATCATGGGCTTGAGACCTAAACACAGTGTCTCTGGAGGCCCCAGGCCACAGGTAGACCCTGCTGGTCCCCAAGTCCCCTGACAGACACACTCACATCTTGTCCCATCCAACCTCGGAGAACACAGACCCTGCAGCAGAGAGAAGTGAGCACACCTGAAACCCAGGTGCAGCTCAGATGAGGGGCAGAGGGTGGATGGACCCTCTCAGCAACGCCCCCATGAACCTTCCCTGGAAAACCTGGAACCTGCCCTATCGGTCCCTGACAGCACCACCCATGGGAACCTGAACACGGTGCTGCTTGGGAGTGGATCTGAGACCTGAGTGTCGCAGGGGCCAGGACAGGTGGCCTGGGCCTGCCCTCTCTCTGTCACACCTGCACTGGGCTCTGCTGTCAAAGACGTTAGCAAACGACCACAGTGACCCTGTAACTCCTGCACCTTCCTCTGTTCACACACCGCCCTCTGCTGCTCTGTCCTGGTTCCTCTGCTAAACACACTGTGACACAAATGACATGAAGCAGGTTTGTACAGTGAGACACTGCTCACACCCCCCCACGCCCAGGACTAATTCATGCAGGTGACAACACAGAGAGACACACAGAGGGTGGGAGTCAGGGCTGGAGCTGGTCTGCACTGCTCCATCCAACACGGGGTCAATGTTCATGCCAATTTTGCCTTCTGGTTTCTGCCCAGCAACTGATGAGACATACAGCTTCAAGCCAATCAAAGGAATGTCTTCACACAGGGACTTTGCCCTGTTTCTGGCAGAGAGGAAGCTGTCTTTGTCCCCACCCTCCTCCCAGGTCGGAGACTCAGCCTTAATGGAGAACGTTCCAGTGCCTGAGCTCTGGGATCTTCAGCTGGAGAACGAAGGGTAATTGCGGGGAGCTGGTGAGAGCCAGGACCCCAGGGCCCCTTAGGAGAAAGGCTGAGAAGTGGTTGAGCCCGCAGGTGGAGCGTGGAGCAGAGCAGGTAAGGTCTGCACTGAGACACCTGTGGGAGGGAGACAACGGGAACCAGGGAGCTGGACACCTGCCCGTCCCTGGGAACTTCCTGTGGTCAGAGAGGGGCAAGGACCCTCACAGTCTCTCCTGCTGGTCTCTGGGAACTTGTTCTAGGAGATTCCAGAAGAGGCGTGGATATCAAACCCAGGTGTGACTGCCTGCCACTCGAAAGCCAATAACTGAGAGACAGGGACTGGTGGGAGGAAAGTAGGTCCATTCAAGGGCCAGCAGCTCCAGAATATGGGGTCTCAGCTCAAGGAACGTCCGAACAATTGGACACAGGCAGGGGCTTTTGTAACGACGAAAATGGAAAGAAAAAAAAACACACACACAACACAGGCACGAGAAGCCGGTGCTGAGAGTTCTCCTTTTGAGGACAAAGTGCAAGCAACGCAGTCTGCTCAGATAACTAGTAGAAGGTCAGCAGATCTCCCAGAACGGAAAGATCCCGCTGAGTAGCAGCCAGGTGAGGGGTCAGGACGTCCTTTCTGCTGTGCGGAGCACGGCCTGCAGGGGGCAGCAGAGAGATCGGGGACTCGGAGCAGAGGGGCCTGCCTTCCTCAGAGGGTGATGCTGGGAGCGCGCACCTGGCTGTGACAGGAAGTGTGGGTGAGTGGAGGGATTCTGGGCACGTTCGCGCAGGAGAGCCCCGGACTCCCTGGTGGAGAGGGTTAAGGTACGTCCATTACCATTCGCTGCTTTATGCCTGATTTCCCTGTTGGGATCCAAGGTGAAGAAAATCTCCAGTGGACATTTGCAGAGGAGGGTCTGGGTCAGCAGCCATTGCGTTTGCACACCCCCTGTCTGCCCTGGGGGAGGCGGCGTCTCCAGGTGGAATTCTCCGCCTTCTCCCAGCAGGGGCTGGGTCACTGCCGCCCAGCCCCTGCTGGTGTCTCTCTGTCTGCCCAGCAGGGAAGGATGGTGAGGCGCCTGGTCCCCCGTCTGCCTGCCCTCCCTGTCTGCCTCGCCGTGGTCCAGCTGCTCAGCCCCTGCTCAGGTAGGACCTGCTCTGCGTTCGTGCATCTGCAGCCTTTCCCTTGGGGCCCAGTCAGAACCCTGGACTCCCCCACCCCTGCAAGGTCATCCAGACCCACCTGTGTGAGGACTGAGTTCCTGTCCAGGTGTCTCTCCCCTCACCCTCCCTGCTGGGGCACCCCCTGGCCCTCTGGCCCCAGCTCCCTCTGACGGAGCCCCCCCTTCTGATGACCAGCCCAGTTTGCTGTGGTTGGACCCCCCGAGCCCATCCAGGCCATGGTGGGTGAAGACGCTGAGCTGCCCTGTCACCTGTCCCCGGAGATGAGCGCTGAGACCATGGAGCTGATGTGGGAGCGATCCAGCCCCAGGCAGGTAGTGCACACGTACGCACACGGGCAGGAGGACACACCGGCAGCAGAGTATCGAGGGAGAACTTCGATTTTAAAAGAGGACATCACAGAGGGGAAGGCTGCTCTCTGGATTCGAGACCTCAGAGCCTCTGACAGTGGAAACTACCTGTGTTATTTCCAAGATGGAGACTTGTATGCAAAAGCCCAGGTGGAGCTGAAGGTTGCAGGTGAGCCTCTGGTTTGATCTGTGCTTGTTTCCTGTGGGGTCAGGGGCACAGGCTCCAGGCCCACCTGAGAGCTCTCCCTGCTCCTCACCAGCACCTGCCCCCCTGCCTCCCTCCCTGCTCCTCTGAGGCCCGAGACAGACCCAGGTTGTCCCCCAGGAAGGGCTCCTCCTGCATCCAGTAAAGAGTCCCTCACACCGCCCACCAGGTCTCAGCAGGGAAGTGGAGGTCGGGGACGGGAAGGAGGAGGACACCCCCCCGCAGTGTGGGGCACACGGGTGTTTGGGTTCAGCGTGTCCCAGACAGTGGCCGTGGGCCCCCAGGTGCCCGCTGCTGTGGGTCCAGGAGGCTGAGCTGCAGGGACAGCACCTGTGGTGCCCACACCCTCCAACCAGAGGCCCCAGGACACACGTGCAGTTGAACAGGGTGTGTCCATCCCTGGAGCAGTGAGGGGGGACGCACAGGGGAGGAAACCGGGGTATCTCAGAGACGGGGTGTCAGGGAGGACTGGGTGTGCCCTCTGGGCTGTCAGGGGACTTGGGGGGATGTGGAAGCAGGGCTCTGCTCTGGGCTGGGTGCTGTCAGGAAGGTGCAGGGGTGTCATGGGTCACTCCCAGCCAGGACAGGGAGGGTGGTCACTGCTGTGGTCTGCACACTGTTCCTGCTTCCTCTGTGCTCAGACCGGCTGCTGAGTGGTCTTGACTTTGTCCTGACCCGTCCCAGTGACAGAGTGACCTTGTCTGAGCTGCTGCCCTGTGAAAGTGCTCGTGTCCGGGTGTCAGGGCTGCACTTCACCTTCTCAGGACACGGCCCTGCCCTGGGCTTCTGCCTGGTGGGTCCCTGGGACCCCAGCAGGGGATGGATTGTGGGGAGTCCTGGCTTTGTCCCTGCAGGGCCAGAGCTAGCTATGGTTCCTTCTGGAGAATGCAGGTTTTGAAGCTGGTCTTCCATACATGACTCTATTCTTCAATTGGCTTCTACCACCTTGTCTTGTATTTTGGGGTTCAAGGACAGGTAATCACAACTTCACTGTTCCTGTCCCTGAGTTAACTCTCTTCTGTAGAAAAGTTATCCCCTCTCTACCGCCAAATTATAAAAACTTTCTTTGCTGAAAAAAGAGGTTGATAACCCCATCCTTAATACATCAGAGTTTCCCGAGGGCCCTAGCATATAACCCACTGCTTGGGCATCAGGAAGACAAGGTTCATGTCTTTTCCTCCACATGGCAGGGCAAAGCTTAAACAGGACAGGCACAATGAATTGAGGCACTGGGGTGCGACCTGCTTCAGCTAAGGGGGAACCGTTTACATGCTTGCCCAGCGTGGGGTTAGGGGCTGTTCCAGGAACCAGGATGACTTGGCCATGGGGAAGGGAGGGTCCAGCAGTTTCCAAGGGGAATTAGGAGAAACAAACTCTGTTCTGGCCCAGATCCCCCTGGATCCAGAAGGAGGGTCCAGCGATGGTCAGGCAGTGGTCACACCATGGGTCAGTCTCTCCTGCACAGCACACTCTGGGGACAGCTCCTGCTGAATCCCTGCTGGTCTCATCCAGGGTGTATGCCCCTCCCTGCTGTGGAGACCCCCACCAGTACAGAGGGCTCCCCAGGATTCAGACTCACTTTTCCTCCCCAGCACTAGGCTCTGATCCCCACGTTGAAATGAAGGATCATGAGGCTGGAGGGATCCGTGTGGAGTGCACGTCTGCCGGCTGGTACCCACAGCCCCAGATCCAGTGGAGAGACGCCAGGGGACACAGCTTGTCTGCTGAGGCAGCACCTAAAGCTGCAGACCCCCAGGGCCTTTATGCAGCCTCAGCCTCTGTGATTCTGGAAGGTGGCTCTGGGGAGGGGGTGTCCTGTGTCATCAGAAACCCCCTGCTCAGCCAGGAGAAGTCAGCCATGGTTTCCATCGCAGGTGAGTGCCCTGCCCATTGCCCTGGGCTCCTGGGTGGCCCCCGGGGGAAGGTGTGGTTGTCTGCTGCTGACCTGGGTCTGTGCAGGGAACAGAAGGGACAGAGCAGGGACCTGCTGCTCCTTCCCCATGAAGCTACTCATGTCACAGACACCTTCTGAGCACTTCCTGTGTGCCACTAACTGTGGCAGACAATGGGAAATGAGGACAAATGGTCAAGACCAGCAAGGACATGGTAAAAGGGGAGAAAACATGTAGTACGTAAATATTTAAAAATATGTAAAAAATATCAAATTTTACAGGAAGAGCTATTTTCTATAATGTATAAAACAACCCATTAGAAAATATGCAAAAACAAGAATTATCATAGGTCTGGCCAAGATGGAGTCATAGGTAGAAATTCTTCACTTCCTAGCACAACCAAAAGAAGGATAAACAACCAATCTAAAAACATTAAACAACCAGAGGTGCTAGAAAATCAAGCTCCACAGAAATCCGACACTCAAGGAGTTAAAGAACATTCACCCAGATGGGTGGGAGGGCAGAGATGGACAGCCAAGCAGAGAGGACCTGCAACAAGGTGGCAGGGGGGTGGGGGGTGCTGCGCAGCCAAGGCGGGGCTGCCTGAACGGGAAACTAAAGACTCAAAGCTAGCTGTAAACTATGTTGGGGGGTTGCCATGGGGGAGTAAGTCCCGGTCTCAGGAGAGAGTTCATTGGAAAGTGGGGCTGCAGCAGATCAAGCAAGCCACATTGCCCCTCTCTGACCCATGCCCCACAGCACAGCAAAGAGGGTTGCCCTGCCCAGGTGAATACCTAAGGACCCACCCCTTACAACATAATGGTTCACTGAAACAAAGAAATATGTCCCAAATGAAAGAACAGACTGAAGCTCCAGAAAAAGAGCTAAGTGACCAGGAGATAGCCAACCTATCTGATGCAGAGTTCAAAATACTGGTGATCAGGCTGCTCACAGAACTAATTGAGCTCAGTTGAAAAATGAAGGAACACATGAAGGCTACCCAAAATGAAATGAAGCAGAAAATTCAGGAAACCAACAGTGATGGGAAGGAAACCAGAACTCAAATCAATGATTTGGAACAAAAGGAAGAAATAAACATCCAACCAGAACAGAATGAAGAAACAAGAATTCAAAAAAATGAGAAGAGTCTTAGGAAACTCTGGGACAACTTTAAACACTCTAACATCAGAATCATAGGGGTGCCAGAAGAAGAACAAGAGTAGGAAATTGAACACTTATTTGAACAAATAATGAAGGAAAACTTCCCCAATCTGGCGAAGGAAATAGACTTCCAGGAAGACTAGAGAGTCCAAAAGGAGTTGGACCCAAAGAGGAACACACCAAGACACATCATCATTAAGTTACCCAAGATTAAAGATGAAGAGAGAATCTTAAAAGCAGCAAGAGAGAAGGAGACAGTTACCCACCAAGGAGTTCCCATAAGACTGTCATCTGATTTCTCAAAAGAGACCTTGCAGGCAAGAAGGGGCTGGAAAGAAGAATTCAAAGTCATGAAAGGCAAGGACCTACATCCAAGATGACTCTATCCAGCAAAGCTCTCATTTAGAATGGAAGGGCAGATAAAGTGCTTCCAGGTAAGGTAAAATTAAAGGAGTTCATCATCACCAAGCCCTTGTTATATGAAATGTTAAAGGGACTTATCTAGGAAATGGAAGAAGATCAAAAACTATGAACAGTAAAATGACAACAAACTTAAAACTGTCAACAACTGAACCTAAAAAAAATGAAAACAAAAACTAAGCAAACAACTAGAACAGGAACAGAATTAGAGAAATGGACATCACATGGAGGGTTTTAGTGGTGAGGGGGAGGGGAAGAATGTGGGGATAGGTACAGAGAATAAGAAGCATAATTGGTAGGCATAAAATAGACGAGGAAAGGTTAAGAATGGTATAGGAAACAGAAGTCAAAGGATTTATGTGTACAACCCATGAACATAAACTAAGGGAGGGAATGCTGGAGGGTTGGGGGGTGCAGGGCAGAGTGGAGATAAAAGGGGGGACATTGGGAAAACAGTAATAGCATAATCAATGAAATACACTGAATTCTTTTTTATTTTTTATTTTCATTTTTATCAGTTCACAGAAAAGTAAATAACTTATGAAAGCATACCAATCTCACTGAGTAGGGAGATGATTTCCACCCATGAGATTAGCAACAAACAAAAAAAAGAAGGTGCTTGATAATGCCCCCTGATGGGTGACTGTGGGGAGGCAGCCACCCTTAGATGTTTTGTTGCTAAAATTTTGTATATTTTGGGTGCTATTTGGCATAATGTCTACTGGGGCAATAGAGTAATCTTTATCTAAACTATTTATTTATTGATCCAAATTACCACTTCTGAGAATTTATCTGACAGATCAGCTTCCATTACTGTGAAATGCCTCATATAAAAGGTTATTTCCTGCACCATTAACTGTAACAACAAAGAGTCAGAGATGGTGCAAGTGCCCCCGATGGGACGCGTGTGCAGGGGGCGCTGCCCTGTGAGAGCAGACACAGACCTGCCCCCTGTGCTGAGGCGGGAAGGTCGCCCAGACCCAGGGGAGCAGAGGAAACCTGCAGCTCAACCAGTATAGACTGATACGTGGTATGAACAAGAAAAAACATAAGAATCTATTTATATTTTTAAAATTTAACAAACACTTGCATGGCACTCGCTGTGTGTCAGGCACTGGATAAGCATTAATTTAATCCTCTTACTGAACAGGACACCAGGAAGGAATGGTTGGGTCATTAGTTCAAGGTCACAGAGCTAGTCAGGCAGGAGATCCTGAATTTGAAGGCTGGCCCTCCAGCCCCGAAGTTCAGGTTCTTAATCACCAGAGTAAGATTCTAACCAGAAGCTAGTCAGTGGGGGGCGGAGGGAGAGGACAGAGATTTCAACGATTCTGTACGCCTTGTTGGTGTTTGAACTGTTCCCATGTGACAGTCCGACCGTTCCGGACAGCACCACTGTGTGGCGGTGAGGGGTCTGGGCACTTCGGGAAGACAATGGTCACTCAGCAGCTGAGGCTCACCCTTCGCAGGCCCCTTCTTCCGGAGCGCGCAGCCCTGGGTGGCGGCCTTCGCGGTGACCCTGCTGGTTCTGCTGGTGACCCTGGCGGGGGCAGGGAGTTTCCTTTGGAGACAGCAGAGGAAGACCGAGGTTCTGCGGCAGGAGAAGACGAGGGAGCAAAGAAACAACGGTGAGACCCCGCCGCAGGAGGGCGCCACCTCCCCACCGCAGCCGGCACCCAGCGCGCGGAAACTCCCCCGGGTCCTCCTCTGAGGACTTTCTTTTTCCTGCTTATTTTCAGAAAGGCTGCAGGACGAACTCAGTAAGTCCCGATCCCAAGCCCCGTGCATCCTGGGGACCCTGGTGACACAGGTCACCAACGCCTCCTGTTGTTCCCTGCAGGGTGGAGAAGGTTCCAGTACGGACCACGTGAGTACCCCGGACCCGCATCTCAGCCTCTCTGCTCGGATAATTCAGCCCCTTCCCTCCCCGCTAACCGCCCAGGGGAAGGAATGAGAACTGATGGGAGAACCAGGCAGGGGTCTGTCTCAGTCGGGAAGGGGCTGCGGGTCTTTCTCCACCAGGGGGCGCTCGACCCAGGACACCCGGCAACCCCGAAAAGGAAAGGGGGAGGGGGAGGTGACTCAGTGTGTGAGTCCTTCCCTCCCTGGTTGATTCTCACACTCTGTAGACAACCAGGAAGAAAAACAGAAGGTAAGAAACCTGTCCCTTAAAAACAGGAGTGGCCAGTGTCAGTTGTCACAGATTCATCATCACTGCTAAAAAAATAGTATCTTAATTTTTCCCATTAAGTTGTCCAGTTGTTTCTGGAAGTGGTCAGGATATCATACAGATGGAGGTGGATGGATTCCAGCACACAGGTACACACACGTGTGCCCAGGGCGACCCTATGCCCAGGTGCACCCAGGTCCTGGAGTAAAGTGGTCACCCCTCATCCCAGGGCGATGTGGTGCAAGACCACAGGTAGCACCAAGCACTGAACACACGAGGTTTTTCCTGTTCACGTAAAGGAAGGCTTCTCATGGGCACATCAGCAACACAGCATCACTGTGCTTGCACGTTGGAGTCGTTATTAAGTAAAATGTGGGTGACTGAACACCAGCGCTGTGATACTGGGACCGTCCATGTGTCACAGAGACGCTCCTCAGGGACTAAGGGGGGGATGTGCTGGATTCGTTGGGGATTCAAGTGGGGGCAGGTCAGGGCAGACAGCACGGAACCTCATCATACTACTCAGATTGGCGTGCAGTTTAAAACTTCTGAATCGTTTGTTTCTGCAATTTTCCATTTTTTTTATTTTCTGGCTATGGATGATAGAAGGTAAACAAACTTTAGAAAGCAAACCACGTATAAGCGGTGCCTCCTACACAGACACAGACAGGACAGCTGTGCGGTGACCCTGGGACAGCCCATGCAGGGCGCCTGGGGGTCCTGAGCTGCAGCTGATGGAAAGAGGAGGGGGAGCCGGGGAGGGAACAGGCAGAGGGAGGGGGGGAGGGGGGGCACACAGGAAGATGACAGGGGGGCACCAGGAAGAGGAAGGAACTGACTCAGAAAGGACAGTTCACGTGACTGTCTGTCTCCACTGCAGGTGAGGAGCGGTCTCAGGCCTATGCAGGTGAGTGAGCCTGAGGCTCTCTGGTTTCCAGGCTCCTGTGGGGGAAGCACCTGCAGCCTTTCCTGCTGGGGGAGGGGCCGTCCCATCCGGCTCAGAGGCTCATTCTCTGTGTCTGCATCACCCCCTCCTGCCTGGTCACTCAGAGAGGACCTTCCAGACCCAGTGTCCCCTTGCCCTGCTGACACCCACGCCCACACCCGGCACAGCCTGGTCGTGTCCCCGGGACCCCAGCGTGTTGGAGGGAAGCCTAGCACTGGGAGAGGGTTCAGCCTGGCCCGCAGAGCTGCAGACGAGGGGAGTGGACATTGGAGGGGACTGAGGAGAGGAGAGAGAAGAGGCTCAGTGAGGTCAGTGGGGGGGGGGAACACAGAAAGAATGACCTTTCCTTGTCTGTGTCTCCTTCCTTCCAGCGTGGAAGAAGGCCCTCTTCCAGCCTGGTGAGTGGGTCCCTCTGTGTCCCCAGGACAACCCCCAAGGGCCCCTGCTCCCTCTTTCCTCTCCAGCTCTTGACTGGGACAGTTCTAGAGGTCCTGGTCTCAAAGGTGTGCCCACCTGCTGCCCAGAGCCCAGTGACCAGGGACAGCAGGTGTCCTGGGGCCCACAGGTCTCTGTGGGAGGAAGAGGAAGGAGGGGCGGGGCTGGAGGGAGGGGCTGCAGGGACAGGGAGGGGGGACCTGACCAGGCTCAGGCTGCCCCAGGTCCTGCAGGAAGGGACTAGGGGGACGGCAGGAGGCTGCTCAGTGAGGGCACGACCGACCGCTGTGGTTCCTGGGCTTTGCTGATGGTCCCCTTCAGGACAGGTCGGGCCCCCACTCGCTGGAGTGTGGCCTCCTGCCCAGAGCCTGGTCTTGAAGGCTGAGGCTCTGATGTCCAGGAACGATGGCTGACCCCACGCCCTCTGACCCCCTGCAGCAGATGTGTTTCTGGATCCAGACTCTGCACACCCCGACCTCCTGGTTTCTGAGAGCAAGAGGAGCCTGCAGCGGGTGGAAACACAGCAGAACCTGCCAGAAAACCCCAACAGATTTTGCAGGAATGAGTGTGTGCTGGGCTGTGAGAGCTTCACGTCAGGGAGACACTTCTGGGAGGTGGAGGTGGGGGACAGGGCACAGTGGCAAGTAGGGGTGTGCAGGGAGAGTGTGGAGAGAAAAAACTGGGTTAAAATTAACCCAGAGAATGGGTTCTGGGTCATGGGGCGGTATCTGGGGAATTACTACCGAGCTCTCACATATCCCCGGACCAAACTGACCATTGTCCACACTCCTGAGAGGGTGGGGGTTTTCCTGGACTGTGAGCTGGGGGAGGTCTCGTTCTACAATGCCACCAACGGGTCTCACATCTTCACCTTCCCAGACATCCATTTCTCTGGGCCTCTGAGGCCTGTTTTCAGGATCTTAGGAAAGGATCCCACCACCTTGACCATTTGCCCAGCGCAGGAAGCAGTGAGGAGGTCCCTTGTGCCTGACCCAGGGCCTGACCCTTCCCTGGAGACCCCAGTGGCCCCAGGCTCTGCTGATGGGAATGGGGACCCTCAGGCT